CCTATCCCCCTGTGTGCCTTGCCTCCCAGACTTATATAATATGGTCCTTGATAGAGCGAAATAACCGAACAAGATGCATGTACCCAACCCCAAGTGGTTGGGATAAGGCTTGGATGATGGTGGTGTGTGTGTACGTGTTGAAAGTGTTATCTGTTGTTTGCTTTGAAGTTCTAATGAATGAGTTATTTTGAAGGAAATTTGTATTGTAACCCCAACCCATAAGGCTCCATAAAAGAAACCCATGGCTTTTATATCCCATATAAATAACCCCTAAATCCCAACTTTTTCTACCAAAAACCCCCAAGATAGGTATTCAATCCATTTATGGACCATAGTACCCTTTTTTGGTATAAAGAACTTGTTCCTAGAATATCTCTTTACCTAAAGGAAACTAAAAAAGGCCTCAATCTCTATCTCTCCCTCTCTCCCGCCCCCCTCTCTTTCCACTCTCAATGGCTGAAAATTTATTCGTTGTATACATAAAAAGAAAAAAAATCAAAGAGAATGTGTTTCTGGAAATTTCTGATCCTTCTTTGAACTTTCATATTCTTATCTTAAGTAAACGAATGCCCTTGCTAAAGCTCATTTGTTGAACAGTTACACAATGATTTTGACGTATTCAATAATAAATCCTTCAATTCAGGATGTAGCTTTGATCCAATTAACTCGGAGATGGTTAGAGAAAGTGAGAGAGGGAGGAGTTACCATTCTTTTTAACTCTGATTCGCTGTGCACAAATTTAGGGAGGGAGGGAGGGAGGGAGGGGGAGGGGGAGAGGGTGAGGCAGAGGGAGTGGGAGGAAGGGGAAGAGGGTGAGGCAGAGGGAGTGGGAGGGAGGCCTTTGCAGCTCTCCTTTGGGTAGAGAGTATTTAAAAAGAAAGATTAAATTAAATTTTACAAAGAGTGGTATTTGACTATAAATGAGTAAAAACTCCTATCTTGGGGGTTTATGTTGGGAAGGTCGGGATTTGGGGGTTATCTATTTGGGGTACGATTCAAAATTCCCTTTTTCTATTGCCCATTAGTCTTTTTAGCTGCTTGGTTATTTGGGAAGGATCTGGGTGGCATGTGCTCAGGTTGTATTCTTATCTATGAGTTTATTTTCAGGGATAAGTGAAAGAGTAGCAGATATTAAAACACGTGCCCCTGCAATGAAGTGTCTTACTGCTTTCTCTGAGGCAGTGGGCCCTGGATTTGTTTTTGAGAGAGTAAGGATGTGGTCTTGTTTAAAATTATTATTGTGGTGTTGATATTTTATCTGAGGTTTAAATATGAATTGATTTTACTTTTAATGTTACTGTTTAATTTTTATCTGGTTCTACATGTTTGAGTTAATGTTTGCTTACAAGTTCTATTTAAACTTTTTAGCTCTTTAAAATCATGAAAGAGCACAAGAACCCTAAGGTTCTTAGTGAGGGAATTTTATGGATGGTTAGCGCTGTTGAAGACTTTGGCATTTCACATTTAAAGTTGAAGGTAGCTTGATCCCTCACCTTCTTGTTGTTGTCTGTTCTGGCCTTTTCTTATTCTTTTTGTTTCACTTTTGGATTCAGCTTTGCAAATGTATATTTCCATTGTCTTATATAAGAGAAAATGACTGATATTTGTGTGCAGGATTTGATTGATTTCTGTAAGGACATAGGATTACAGTCTAGTGCTGCTGCTGCTAGGAATTCAACTATCAAGCTTATTGGAGTTTTACATAAGTTTGTCGGTCCAGGTGATTTATTTGCTTTCTCTTCAAATCAAGTAGTGGTTAGAGTTGAAAATTTTCATTGTATTCTTCTGACTTAGTTTTACTGCAGACGTTAAAGGCTTCCTTTCTGATGTGAAGCCTGCACTTCTTAGCGCACTTGATGTTGAGTATGACAAAAATCCTTTTGAGGTATATTAGTTTGGTCATGGTGCATACCCTGTACTTATTTTCTCATGGGCCGTGTTCTCTAATTACTTGGTATGGCATTGAACAGGGAGATGCTGCAGTGCCAAAGAAGGCCGTGAGGGCTTCAGATTCATCAGTTATTTCTGCCATTGGGTCGGATGGGCTGCCACGGGAAGATATTAGTGGGAAGATTACGCCTTGTGTTTTAAAGAACCTCAGTAGCCCTGACTGGAAGGTATCTTTTACAAACTTCTATTACCTAAGATTGGGTGTGTATTCATATTTAACTTTTTTTTTGCCCCATTCTGTGAAGAAATTTGTTTTTATGGTGCAATAACTGAATCCCTTTCAAGAAAGAAAAGAATCTGGTTGTGCATCAGGTTTTTTTTTTTTTAAGAATTACATGTCACAATGAACATGAGGTTCTACTTGCATATTTTCTTACCGATTCTTGCTGCATCACTTTTACAATTGTTATCAGGACTGGACCAGCCATCATACTGGTGCTAGTGGCTGCTCTCGTCCAATCTGATCTAACTGTTCTGACTGGAAAGATTTATTTCTCTTGAAGTAAAAGAATAAAATTAAAAGAAAATAGAACAAACCACCAATTTTTCTACAATTAAATAAATTTGAAGAACGTTCTCATATGGGTCTGATATTTAGGAATTTTGGTTGTTTATTATCTTATATTCAAGACTTGGAAATTATATTTTTACAATTTACAAAAGATTATTTTTTCTGTCCATTGCTCTTTAGTTCTGCTTTCTATCATTGTTTAAATAAATTTTGCTAGTCTATTAGACATTCCCTGAGGAGTTTGTCTATGATTCTATCTATGGTCTATGATCATCAAAGCTCAAAATAAAGGTTACAAACTACAATTGTAAAACCTAGAAAGTTATATAGAAGTATCATAGTTAATTGTTATGCCATTTTTTCCCAAGTCTGCGAGATGCTCTAAGCTATAGGAAAAGTATTTTCTTCTGTCTGTATGTAAGTAGCTATGTAACTATAGATGCATGCATGTGTGCATGTATCCCTGCATCACAATTGTTATCATCTGCTTAATCATCTTCTTCTTTACTTCTCATACCAGAATTCTCAACGAATTATTGATTGACGTTCCTTTTGTGTCTACTCTTTATATTCCAAATTAATATTTGAAGGCTACAAACATAAAGTCATGGTGTCCTATGTGATATTTGTTTGATTCTTTAGGGGTCATCTTCGTCTAGGACACTTAGCTTGAAGCTTGCTGACCCAGTCTGTATATTTTTTCCGTGTTTAATGTGTTGGTATCCTTGCCTTCTTGGTGCTTCGGAAAAAATTGAAATTTGCATTTAGGAATTACCATTTAGCAATCCATTTGAAATTTTGAACAAGCTAATGTTTTATTAGCAATTTATATTATCTTTGCGGTTCTAAGAATTTACAGGCATAATTCCAAAAAATATAGCGGGTTATTACAATTAAGATAGATACATAGTCAAGTACAGTACTAAAGACACAGCATAGGTTGGTCTAATTACCTCGCAATATCTATGTTTTTTGGGTTTTTTTACAGGTCCGTTCAGAAACAATTGAATCAATCAATAAAATTTTGGAAGAAGCCAATCGACGCATTCAGCCAACTGGCACTGGTATCTTTGCTGCAATGTTTCCATATGATTTCATAGTTATTAAGTGTTCAACTTGTTATTGTGTAGTATTTGATTGTATCTAGTAGCAATTTATTATGAAGGGAACAGTTTGCAATGTAAGATGTCATGTTATTCAATTGGTGTCTATCTTTATGTGGATTCTCAGCTGAGTTATTCGGAGCTCTTAGAGGCCGTTTGTATGATACCAACAAGAACTTGGTGATTCTGACACTTGGTACTATTGGCAATATTGCTTCTGCAATGGGATCTGCAGTTGATAAAGCCAGCAAGGTTTTTTCTCAAGCCCCTCTTCCATTATTGGTTTGATTCTTTGAAACTTTCACATATTTTATCATGTCTCTGACAACTGTTACTGTAACTTTTCAGGGTATCCTTTCAGATGTTTTTAAATGCCTTGGTGACAATAAAAAGAACATGAGAGAAAGCACTATCAAAGCATTGGATGCTTGGGTTATGGCTGTCCATCTCGATAAGATGGTAGTTATCTTTTTTTCTTTGATCGGTCTATAAGATGGTAATTTTTGTATCATGTTTATTGAATTTAACTATGGACTCTCCTGCATTCATCTTGTTTGGAAATTCTGTGTTGTAGGTTCCGTACATATCTACTGCTCTGGCTGATACGAAACTCGGTGCTGAGGGGAGGAAGGACCTTCTTGATTGGCTATCAAAGCAGCTAACCAGGCTATCTGACTCATCTGAAGTTTGGCACCTTTTGAAGTCTGCTTCTTCTGCGATGATGGTACACCCATCTGATTTTTCTTCTGTTTGATATAATGAGAGTTGAAGATGACCATTTTTGTTAACTTTGGACTTCTTGGATTTGTTTAGGACAAATCTGCCGATGTTCGGAAAGCTGCGGAAGCTTCGATTGTTGAAATAGTCAGAGTTTGTGGACAGGAGCTGGTATAGATGGAGTTTCTTTATAGATTTTATCTGGTTCCTTCTAGAAGGTTATTTTTATATTGGGAAAGGTTTCTATGCTTCCCCTACAGCATAGAAGTTCTATCCTCCCCCTACCATCAAGCCGTCCAATTTTGATCAAGAGAGCCACTCACCGTTTGATCTTAGATCCGATGTCTCAAAGTATTTTATGTTTAGTTTTTTTTATACAAATTGTATGAATATAAAATTTGGTACGTGCCATCCTCTCATTGGGGCGCACCTATAAAAAATATTAAAAATAATTTTTTGATAAAATATAATGGCCAAAATACCCCTTGGAACTTTCAGGGGTATGTTGGCCATTTTATTTTATTGAAAATATTTTTTTTTATATTTTCGCTAGTGCGAGTTTAATAGAGGAATGGATGTCCAAAATTTGGTGTCAAAATAGTTTATAGAAAAATAATTAAAAATAAAATAGTGTAAAGACGTGACGTTGTGATTGGGGCAATCTTAGCCCTCCATTCAGAATGGATGGTTGGATACGGGGGAGGATAGAACTTCTATGCTGTAGGGGAAGCATAGAAAGCTTGCCCTCTTATATTTTGATCTTTGTTGACTTATTCCTGTCTTCTGCTCTAGGTGATTAAGGCATTGAAGGACATAACTGGACCAGCTTCAAACATCATTCTTGAAAGGCTAAGGCCTGGTGTACTTGAAGGTTTATACCGGTCCATTAGCTTAGTTTTCTTGTTTACATGCTCCTTGGACTTGGCTAATGCTTGCAGTTACATTTTTTTTTGGTTGACAGAATCATCTGACTCTGCTAAAATGATTTCCCACGGCCCGGGGCCTAAAATAAATTCAAAGATTGGCAAAGTTGCTTTAAATGGATGCAATGATCGTGCACCAAAGCATGGAGGCAAAGTTGTGACCTTGGTATGTTTTGTGCCTGATATCCGTTAATTCACATATGTGCCCCTGTGAATGAATAGATAGGTTGACAGACTTGGTTTCTAATCTATTTTGGGCAGAGAGGTAATCAAACAAAGGTGTCCAGGCAGGATGCTATGGTGGCTGCCCAAGATTTTACCATCCAGGGGATGGCTTTATTTAACCTGAAGGACTCGAGCAAGGTATCTTGAGTGCAACCTACTTTGATACAAACTTACTTTGGATGTTAATTACATACATTTGATTTGTGTTTTCGATACGACAGGAAGACAGAGAGAGATTGATCATACGTAAACATAAATTTGAGGAACCACGGTTGGAACAAATTCAGGACTTGGAGGTTCACACTTATGCTCTGGATTTGTTTTTTTATCTTTGATAAGGCATGTTTTATGCTCATTCTTCTAACTGGCTTTTTCATGCAGAATGATATAGTTAAGTATTTCAGAGAAGACTTGCACAAACAACTTCTGAGCACAGACTTCAAGAAGCAAGTGGATGGTCTAGAGTTATTGCAGAAGGTGCTGCCTGAATTTGTTAAATTTCATTCTCGTGTCATTTTTTTTTCTTGGTTCTGTTTATTTATTTTATGATCGTTAATCGTTTTCAGTTCTGTTTCACAAATGGAGTAAATTTATGTATTCAGGTTGTCCCAGCTAGTGGAAAGGAGATAATCGAAATTGTGGATATTCTTTTAAGATGGACTGCTCTGCGTTTTTGCGAGTCAAACACAACATGCTTATTAAAGGTACTCTTTTTAGTAGAAGTATTTATTGGATACTCGCTTGGCTTCTCTTGATTGATTTAGCAATCTTCTTAGGTGCTGGAGTTTCTTCCTGAGCTTTTTGACACTTTGAAGAATGAGGGCTATAGTCTGACTGAAGCTGAAGCTGCCATGTTCCTCCCATGCCTAATAGAAAAGGTATACCTTGACAAAGACTGAAATGATGAGTAATTGAATGGAATGGAAGGTCTTTATTTTACAGATTGTTATTGCCAAAATGGAGATGGGGTGCATTGAATATCTTTTTTTTTTTCCTGTGTTTATTTGGTTCTTTTTTCTTTCTAATTGATCCTAGGGTAAAATAAGGAGTTGTGAGCATATGTTGCCCTTTGGTCTAAGACAAATTGGCGTTCTGCATCATTGGAAAGGGATTTCATTTTAGAGTTTTGAGTGGAGGTCATCTATACTATGTTACTATAGCATTAAGGGCATGAAAACCTCCACTCGCGCTGTCTCGAGTTTTCTTTCATGCCTGTTGCATATACCTTTCAGATTTAAGAAAGGTAAGGCACGGTCCTAACCATGGGGATTTCAGCCATGTGGGGCATGTGGAGAGGGACAGTATTGGGTAATGTCGTACTGATTTATTGGTAATTATTGATTGTTATTTTATCGAAAATGTTTTTTGCATGTGATAGTAATTATTAATATATTGGTAAACCAAAAGATAGTATTAATTTGTAATTATTAATTTCTCGAAAATGCTTTTCGCCTCTGATATAATTTATCGGTAAACCAAAAAGATAGTATGAATTCGTAATTATTAATTTCTCAAAAATGGTTTTGAATGTAACTGTAATTATTAATTTATTGGTAAACGAAAAGATTTTATGAATTCATAATTTTTAATTTCTTGAAAATGCTTTTTGCATGTGATAGTAATTGATTTAGTGGTAAACCAAAAAGATAGTAGTAATTCGTAATTATTAATTTATCAAAATAATTTTTATGTGAAATACTAATTTTTAATTTATCGGTAAACCAAAAAATAATATTAATTCATAATTATTTATTTCTTGAAAATGCTTTTTGCTTGTAACAACAATCATTAATTTTTTGGTAAACTAAAAGATAATATTAATTTGTAATTATTAATTTCTCAAAAATGTTTTTGCATGTAACAATAATTAATTTATTGGTAAACCAAAAGATAATATTAATTCAAAATTATTAATTTCTCGAAAATACTTTTTCCATGTGATAAACCAAAAGATAGTATTAGTCTGTAATTATTAATTTCTCGAAAATACTCTTTGCATGTAACAATAATTATGAATTTATTGGTAAACCAAAAAATAGTATTAATGCGTAATTATTAATTTCTCGAAAATGCTTTTTGCATGTGATAATAATTAATTTGTTGCCAAACCAAAAAGATACTATTAGTTTGTAATTATTATTATATAATATATACAATAAAATAGGGGGAGGTGTGGGGATCCAACTTTAAGAAAAAGACAACGAAGACCGCCTTTGGGTCTGGGCGCTCACCTACGTGGCCCAGAGCCCTCACCGCCTAGGTGGCCGCCTACACCTTCTTGAACATTGATTGGGCTATTATCCTTGGAGTAGGAAGCATGGAAGAGGTGCCGTTAGCATTCAAATATTGGAGCCCAATTATGAGATGAAAGCTTCACGATGGACTTGGGTTCTGATTTGTTCTTCTTCATGGATGGATGATGGCCACAAGGTCTTAGCTGTAGATGGGGTTTGTTGGTCACCAACGTTGAGGACTGCGAAAGCAAGGACTAACTATCTGGAGATCTTGTAAATGCTGTGTTCCTTCTAAGGAAAGCAAGTCAGGGACCATTCTTACTGAACCTGCCTTTATTGCTGAACCAGCCTTTATTGCTTGGGACACAAGGACTTCAGTTTCTGCTGGCTCCTCTCCTTTAACTTTTTGCACAAATATTCAAGGAAATAAATGGCCTGCTGATATTTGAAGGTAGAAGCTTGGAGAATTAAAAATTGTTCTAATAAGTGGCACAAATTATTCGTGCATGAAATGATGTCAGAGTGGAAGAGAGCAACTCAAATGGGTACTTTCACGGCCCAAACACAGTGGTGGAGGCTATAACCTGTATCATTATCAAATCGGACCCCATGTGGTGTATTCAGAAGGGAATTAAGGGTTTCAATACAGGTTTTGGGGGAGCATTGCAGCTAGCCAATGTCTATTGAAGGGACCGTATGTCACCACAATTGCTATGCTTCACTGTTCAGACGCGTGGTACATGGAAAATGAAGACAAGAAGGTGGTACCCTCTTAGGGAATACAGAGACTGGTTATATTAGTTTGGGGCCAATGGTAAATTGGCTATTGGCTGCGTATTATCTACTAGTAGTGTAGAACATTTTGTTTTTGTTATAGGGAGCAGAAAGTATGGGGAAGCATTGAGTTTTTCTTAGATATGAATGTGGAGTTTGTTGTGATATCTCTGCTTATTCAACTCCTTGCTTTTCCCCAACATAATCCACAAAGAATCTCTCTCTCTCTCTCTGCCTTCTAAGGTACCCATGGTGAGAATGCAAGGCTCAATGGAATCTTGTGGCCCCATCTGTTGCCCTCACCTTTGTCCACCACTCACACTGTCAACACTTATTCCATCACTGGCCATCTCTCGCAAGTTTGAGTTTGCCTCACTGGCCATGTAAATTGAGAAGGTAGAGGCTGAATACATTGTAAATTGTTGTGCATAATAGTACACTCAGTAATAGCATTAGCCCTGGTACTCACAACTTCCCCCATTGTTCTCAAAGCTTGAACCAGGAAGGTCCATCCATTGTCAAGTTGTGAAAACAGGGTTGTGCTTGGATACATTCATGCACACTTGTATTCCTTCAAGCACTAGTTTAGCCTCTGCTCACAAAGTGCTTGAAGAAATGGTACAAAGAGATACGGTCTTGCTCCCTTTAAAAGGTCTTGCTCCCTTGAAAAAGACCCATATGGTCTTGTTTACATGTTATGTTGAACTGGAGAGATGGTATTGCTCAAGGTATAGTATCATGGAGAACAGTTAAAATTGGAGTGACCATATTGCGTAAGATACGGTATTATGGAGCACGGTTTTAACTGGCTGTGCTCCGGTAAGGCGGAGCATGGAAGCATTGGAATTGTTTGATTCTATGGCTCTATGCTCCATTGTGGCTTTAGGTCGGATAATGTGGTCTTGGTAATCAGCCTTTTCACATTTGGGTACACTCGAGAAGGGTAAAATGATCCATGTTTATGGTAAGAGGAGCGATTTGTAATTAGATGTGTATTTTTACTGGTTTAATAGACCTGTATGCAAAATGTTTTTACTGGTTTGAGAGTCATTTATTTGGTTTCATTTTTCATATTAATTCCTGTTTGTAGATATTGGCATACACTATCTCTCTTCAATAGTGAGTGAGATGCTACGTTGTATAGAAAGATGTGTGCTTAACAAGAAAAATCAATCAAAATTGATTTTTTCAGCCAAACGTAAAAAAGTTCAAATCTATGAAAATGCTAACATGCAAGTCGATAGTCAAAGAGGCACAAAAAAACACATCAGCATAGTATATAATCCAAATAGATAAAAACCTAGAATGCCTCTATTCAAATCTCCAATAACGTGAATATTGTTCTGTTTTGTCAAATGTACCTGAAGTATATATCATAAGACTTGTTTGTGTTTTACTTTATAATAATGTAATGAAGTCTCAGTCAAGACTCAGATTTACTGTAGTTAAAGATTCAGCATATCAAAACTTGCCTCTTGTCTTTGCATTTTTTTATACAACTTTAAACACAAGGCCAATGGCAATGTTTGGTTGACTGTAGTGAATCCTGAATCTCTTGCTATATTTTTTGGTCATGATCTTGATGATACCGAGTTTCCTAAAATTTTATGATGGGTGTGTGGGGAGAGTGGCTTTATGATGTGGTTCCTTTAGATACAATTATTCATTGGGTATGCTGTGTGGTGTCGAAATTGGTGAGATTGTTACGAGAGTGTTGGTTGCTAGATGGCTTGAAGGTTCAACTTGAAGTGGGAACCATTCTTGAAGTTCATGAAGGACGTTAATCTCTACAGGAATGATGTCATATGTTTTGATTGTTGAATCGCAAATGGAATTCTTGGTTGGTTTCTTGTATTGAGTTCTAGTTTAAGAATGATAGGAAGCTTTTTCAGTAGATTTTGGTGGAGTTCCAACACTGCAATCTTTCATTGCTGTTGTTAAGAATGAGTTTCACACATGCCACCATCTTCGGCATTGGGGGGGTTTTACCAAGTGATGCATTCTTGGCATGTAACTGATATGACAATGGGCCAGCTTCTAATGCTTTGTGCCATAATGTTAGGTTGCATCTTCGAGGTTTTTAGTTTTCCTGCAATAAATATTGGTGATTGACATTAACATAGGACCTAACATTCATCTTCAAAAAAACATATGACCTAACATTAATTTGTATTTCCTGTCCATTCTCTGTAGGGATCTGAAAGTGTCCTAATGTGTAGACCTCTAGTGGGGCTCTAGAAAGAGTTGGTGCCACACATGAGAGGGCCATTGTAGATGTGAGCTTATAGTTCATAACTAGCTGAGGAACCGTCCAAGAGGGTAGCATTCCCTATTGTAAAATCAACACTTTCTTGGCGTTTGCATTTTAAAAATTTTTTTTTTTTTGCACGTACACGTCCTTGATGGTGGGAACTAGTATGGCACTGTGGCTTAGTTTTGGACTTTGCTGGAACTGGTGAGGTGCTTCACCCCAATAGGTTTGGATCCCAACCTGATTGCGGCCTGTGAAGCTAAATGTTGTTAATTCTTTTGGGGAAGTGATTGATGTCTATTCTTGTTCTATGTTCAGATGTTGGTTCTTTGGGAATTCTGATTTCACTTTTTACTTGCAGAGGAGTAGTTTGATTACTTTGTCTTGTAGTTGCATGGAAGCAGCTAGCTGTGGAGTTTATTAGTGGAAGACTCATTGAAGTTCTGGTGTGGGAGCCCCAGTCTAAGGTTCCTGCCACTGAGGCTTATATGCATAAGTGATATCTTCTTATCTTTGATAAAGATCGTGTAAATGCTTTTCACTGTATTAAAATGGCAATAGCTACCCTTATTATTCAAGGGTATCTTCATTGAGATTAGAAACGTTTTTATGTTGGTCCTGAGTTAAGACTTGGTACTTGCCTTGAAATGATTGTTCCTTTGACATTTTCTTTCTGTAGATTTCCCAAGTATCATCACAGTTACTGTTAATCTGATTCGGTCTCCGTTATTGCACTATTTAGTACTTTATCCTAGCGTGTTGTGAACATTAGCTGACTTTACTATAAGTTGTTTCGCGTAGTTTGTTAGGACCAATGTAAACTCTTTCTTCATTTGTTCTTATGATTGCCAGACTTTACTATAAGTTGTTTCGCGTAGTTTGTTTGGACCAATGTAAACTCTTTCTTCATTTGTTCTTATGATTGCCAAGAGTTTTGGTTATTTTAGTGCTTATTCATTCTCTAACTTTTTTCTCTATTTTTTATGGTTGAGTTGCAGTCGGGGCATAACATTGAAAAAGTACGTGAAAAAATGCGTGCTCTGACGAAGCAAATTGCATGCATTTATTCACCTACCAAGCTTTTTCTCTATATTTTGGAGGGATTGCGTTCAAAAAATAATCGCACTCGAATAGAATGTGTGGATCTTATCGGATTCTTGATGGATAATCATGGAGCAGAGGTATCTTGAGATTATTTCTGGGCATGGTTGTTTCCATATGATTAGCGGCAAACTATTTTACAAATGGTTCACTATTGTCTGCTTCTCAATTAATCAGATAAGTGGACAATTAAAGGCCTTGCAACTTGTCGCTGGGTTGACTTCTGAGCGAGATGGTGAAATCAGAAAGGCTGCACTAAATACTTTGGCAACTGCCTACAAGAATCTTGGTAAGCTGCTCCTTGCTTTTGTTTTTGTTTTTTTATTTTTAATTAATGTACTTGCATAATTAGATGTAGTTCGTTTCCTATGTTGTTTTACATTCTTCCAAGTTCATATGGCTGGTTCTGATCTTAGTTGTACTTATATTTAGTGATAAATTATTATTATAGATACTGTTTGCTATCATGTTTGGGATGGTGAGTATGCAGAATTTCATACCCTAGGGTTTCTCTTTCCCGGTTTGTTTTTTGCTTAGTGGAAATTGAGGCCTATTCTTTCAGGCACTATTTCCACCATCAAAATCTTGTCAAAACATCTATGGTTGGTTAGGGCGTTTTCGTTAGCTTGGAGGTTCTCTTTTCTTTTAATTTTTGGTAGGTCATAACTAGGATTTGAGAATGGGATGCAAGATTGCAATTGTGAGCACCTTGATCAATTGCTCAAGGCTGTATCCTATTATCTAACAACTTTTGCTCTCAAGGCTATGTTGTTTGGGCATGAACATGGGTTAAGGTATTTGGTTTCTCATATAGCAATTTGTCAGTTGGCAATGACATTGTTGACTTTTTTTTTTTGGGTAGATCAATGGGAATTATAGGCCCCCTATCCATTTTGGAAAGAGTAAATGTTTTTGAAAGTGTTAGTGAGAATGGAGGATGTGACTTTTAACTGGGGTTCAGGTGGTATTACCACTGCAACCTCAGCCCCATTCTGCGTGGTTGAAATTTTTGATAGGTATGATGAGTACTTTTGTCATTTATAAAGGGTGTCATTGAAATTTTGACTAAACGATTATACTAATATAGCAACATGATACTCTTCTAAAAAATACCTTTGTCTTTTGCAAAAATATCAATCATCCGCTTGTCAAATGATAACAACAACCCCCTATAAAGTAATATTCTTGACCAAAAAGCTAAGGCATTTTTGGTAAATCTACCATACAAAACCCTATAAAGTAACAATGCATGCATGCTCGTGTGCGCAAACCCACACATTGGAAATTATAGTCCAGGAGGCCTAAAGCTACAGACTACAGTAAGCTGCCTAAACACCTAGCTCGAGGGAATTTTACCAGTTGAAATTTTCTTCCAAGACATATTAGATTTACCTTGTGATGAGCTTAGAAAATAATAAAGAAAAATGACTTTGAGCTCTTTTTTTTTTCTCTCTCTCTTTTTCTTTTTGAAGCTGTTAAACTGATTTTGGGCTCTTAAAGCCCTACATCTCACTGCCCATCAATTGGACAGTCTATGTCCATTGTGGGATGTTGGATTTGTTTGGAGCACATTTTTTTGTTAATTTTTATTTTTTATTGGTTGATTTGGAACACTTTTACGATGCAAGTTATTTTTATTCATCATCATGATCATCATAGCCTTTTCCCAACTAATTGAAGTTGGCTACATAAATCCTGGTCTATAATTCTGTTCTATTAAGGGCCATACCCTCAGTGAGGCTATAAGTCCCTATATCGTTTCTTTCTACTTTCAACCATGTCCTTTTGGGTCTACTTCTTGCCCTTTTTGAGACTTCCACTTGAACTAACTCTCACCTCCTAACAGGTGATGTTCTGAGTCTGCACTTGTTAGGAGGCGCAAATTATTTTTATTGTTTTCAACAATCTTTTGAGATTGATTGATGAGATGAATTAAGGATATCTTTTTGGGTTCAACAAAGCTCTCTAAGGCACTTTGGCGGGCATCTACAATATAGGCTCTTAATGTTTTTCATATATTTACATATATAATTGAGGGTTGTGATGGTTGAAGGCCTGTAGACTGACTGTTGACTTCTCCATGGGTCTCCTGAAGCATCTATATTCTCCTAAGCTCCCATGAAGTCTATTTGTGCTGCAGGCTAGAATGTTGCTCTCTAGTAACTAGATAAGAGATATATGCTTAAAGTTTATAAGAAGAACCACATAAGGGCAAAATAATCATTGAATCTATCCTTCTATGTAATTTAGTTATTTCTCGAGTCATTTATTCATTTAGGGGTATAAGTAGTAATTTTTGAAGTCTTTTATGTCTTTTTATTCACTTAATATCTTTTATAATATATGGCCATGATTAGAGTGGATGGATGGTCAAGATTAAGTATTGATTAGGGTTTTCTTATATAAGGGATGTACTCAAGCATAATGAGGGATTATTTTATGGACTTTTATTCAAAACTCTAAAGCATTAAGTGCTCCTTCTTTTGCCTATGGTTTTTGAATCGTTCTCTAAATGTGGATTTGCTCTATCTCTTTTGCCAAAACCCTAGCTTCAACCTACTAGGTGAGCGCCAGGTTGGTATCAGAGCCCGACGATCAGTAAGGATGGTAATGTAGCACGATATTGTAGTGTGTTATTATAGCATTGATTTTTGTGTCCTAGATAAAAAACCATGCCTCCATGCAAAGGAAAAGGAGGAAAAGCGACAACCATAGAAGCCTTTGATGCTAGTTCATGAGGAGAGATTGTAGATCTGAGGAGATTGGTCGAAACCCTAGCTCCACGTGTAGCCCAGATGGAAGCCCCATTTCAGGATTATGAGATCGAGGCAGATGAAGAATCCATAAATCTTTTCTTTGATCAAGCTCCAAGGAGAGAATTAGTGGATCCGATAGATAGGAATAGTAGTAGGTGGGAAACCGGTCTCAAGGTTGAGATCCCGAAGTTTTATGAATGCCTATTTGAGGAAAAGCATGGAGAAATTTTATTTTGATCAAATGGTTCTCATGATTAACATGCTATGGACTGGGACTCACCACCAATCTTTGACAAGTACTTGGATGGAGATTTGGGTGTTGAGAAATGTCACGACCCTGCCCCCAACCACCGTACCTTACGCGGTGACGGGCGATCGAGCGCGGGTTCGTGATTCAATGTAACGTTTGTCTCTCAGGTGGGAGTGGACTCAACGCCTTTATATTCAGAAATCGAGCAAACCATAGAAGAGAGCTAAAGCGACAAGCTTAACTAGTAGAAGAGTAAGGAAAAAACTCCGCACACCAAAATTCATAATATAAAAATCTTTCAAAATATTACATTTAGTTCGGGGCATCTAGGCCCTATATTACACATATCCATCAAGAACAAAACAAAACCAGGGCCAAACAGCCCATACATAAACAAGGTCTAAGCACCTTCTTCAAGAACAATATCTTTGTCTTCCAGCCGCCAAACACGAATTTTCATCCCCGTACCTGCCGCTATCAATCTACAAGGAGAGGAGAAATAATGGGATGAGCTATACAGCCCAGTAAGCCTGTCTAGTATTATGCATCTATGGTGGTTGTATCCATATGTGACAACAGTGCAGTTTATCAATATAGGGTCATAATTTAGCATAAATGCATATCAAGTCAAGACAAGGAATATGGACATTGCATTTAAACGGTATTCATCACTAAATCAGTGCGATCAGAACCTTCAATTATTGAAATCATAAATCATTCCATCATTATAATGCTAAACATTCTTTATAAAGAAATTCAATTATTACCTACGCACTCCTTAAATCACCTACTCCCACATTAGAGGCCCTATCTATCTGGCTAAGCCAATTCCATTGCTTAAGACCTCTACCATCACACATGAGGGAGGGTAATGACAAGCGGGGTATCCACTTCGTAATACCCTCAACACACTCACACAGTCCCCAACGTGCATTGGGGTTTCGATAGGCTCTTACCTTGCAAGGCATCAATCGCATATCATTTCATAAATCTAGGGTGCGACCCTTTATCCTCTCCTTTAACCTGTTCCTATCATTATGCAGGTTAGGGGATATGCCAGCATCTCTTTTCTTACTACCGATGAGTGTCGCATCGCGTAGCAGGCAATATCATAGTATCATTCACTACCGGTGAGTGTCCCACCGCGTAGTGGCCAATATTCTCATCAATGTCTTGGTGAACCTAGCTCTCACTATCGATGGGCTCGGGTCCCACCGCGTAGTGGCCAATGTTGCCATCAATAAGTCCAATATCTGCTAGCAAAGGGCTCGGGTCCCAATGCATAGTGGTCAACACTCTCATCAATATAACAGCACGGTATCCACTACCGCTGAGTGTCCCACTGCATAGTGGTCGATAACTATATAAGCAGTGGCCATTCATCACATCGTCATAACAGTATCCACTACCGGTGAGTGTCCCACCCCGTAGTGGTCAATAATAATATAAGCAGTGGCCATTCATTGTCTCATAACAGATGGATCATATTCATCATAACGTCATAGCATTTAGCAAAAGACATGCATTTCATAAGCTATCACATGGCATTTACCCATAAGCTTTCTCAGTTGCATTTGGCATTCACTGTTAATTCATTTCATCATTATTGTTCTCGTGGCCCCTTTTTCTCACAAAGTGCAGTTTACACGGCATCATTCACATATCTTTATGGCATTCTCATGGAATTTATCATATGGCATTCACATTCATCATATATCATAACTTAGTGTCGCATGATCATACAATGATTCAAAGACATGCCCCTCTTAGTGAGGGTGTAGCTCCCGATGTAGGGGGAGTTTCAGGATGCCTCCAACATGAAACCTTAAGCTAATACACATTCTTTACAAAACAGTGATTTGAAGAAATTTGGGTACCATTTGATGGGTCAATAGCCCAGTAAAAAGTGAGCCTTAGTTGCTGGAAATTTCCCTGCAACAGTGTGCAGTGACGTGTTCGCACATTGTTTCAAGCATCTCAAAACATGCAACTTTAAGTACATTCATAAACCTTTCCAATGACGGTAATTTCAAGGTTTTTGGATACCATTAGCTTGGTCAAAAGCATTGCCCAAAAGGACCGCAGTGGCTGGAAATAGCAGCGACTGTGAACAGTGTCACGCCTCGACATTTAGGGCCATATCTTTTTATCCATGCAAAATATTATGATGACCAAAGAAGTAAACTTGGAGTAGACACACATGTCTTTCATTTGGGACCGATTTGGTCCTATTTGGACGCCATTTGGTCATCGAACATATAGTTGCAAAAACATTCACAGTTCTGGAAATTCACATTCTCAAGTTAATATATTTTCAAGTTAATATATTTTTAAAGAACACTTAATGTTTCTTAGCCAAACTACACTTTGGGCTTGGAACCTTATTCGTGATAAGGAGCCTCATAGTGAGTGATATCATGAGTTTCTATAAATAAAAAGATCAAACATATGGTAGACACAGTCATGGCATTGAGAAGCACAAATTGAAACTTCAACCTCATATTAACCCATTTATTCTTCACATTTTCCTTTTTATCATCTAATCCATTTCAACATTTTTAAAACACTCATGGCATTGAGAAGCACAAATTGAAACTTCAACCTCATATTAACCCATTTATTCTTCACATTTTGCTTTTTATCATCTAATCCATTTCAACATTTTTACAACACTCATGGATGCATAAAGCTAAACCCACTTACCTTGACTTCTCACGGTATCACAAATCCTCACTCATGGCCTCCACGGGCTTTCCTTGGCTTCACCAGTGTGCTGTCTTGAAAGGGGCAACAATGAACTTCAAGAGAGAGGGGAAAGTTGAGAAAAATGGGAGAGACCCGTGTTGCCCAAGGCTTAAAAGGAGAGGGTGGTTGGAAAACACTGTGGCTGATGCAATCACTCATTGCTCTGACACGTATGGGGCGGCTCTGACATGTATAGAGGCTGTACGTTTGACTAAAACCACTACTGGCACTGCACTATCAAGCATCCAATTGGCGTTGCTCCAGCCGGCGCTGCTTTCTTCTTATCCCACCGGCGCTGCTCTATCAGGCACTCCTCGAACCGGTGCTACTCTCTTCTTATCCAACCAGCGCAGCTCCAACCGGCGCTGCCCTCTCTTCTCTTCCAACCGGCGCTGCCCTCTCTTCTCTTCCAACCGGCGCTGCTCTCTCTTCTCTTCCAATCGGCGCTGCTCCCTCTTCTCTTCCAACTGGCGCTGCTCGCTCTTCTCTTCCAATTGGCGTTGCTCTCTCTTCTCTTCCAACTGGCGCTGCTCTCTCTTCTCTTCCAACTGGCGCTGCTCCAACTGACATTGCCCTCTCTTCTCTTCCAACCGGCGCTGCTCTCTCTTCTCTTCCAATCGGTGCTGCTTTCTCTTCTCTTCCAACCGGCGCCACTCTCTCTTCTCTTCCAACCAGCGCTACTCTCTCTTCTCTTCCAACCGGCGCTGCTCCTTAAACATGCACGACAATGCCTCAGACGGCAATACTTCACACGCCTTTCGCGCGCTGCGAAAATCCTTACGCCTTCTCGCTCGACATTACATCTTTCTTCTCGCGCGACGATATTGGCTTGGGAGAAAATTGTGGCCCTTACAAGAAAGAAGTAGGTGATCATAATTTTAATGGTGATCCAATCCGTAAAAAGGATCAATAAAAAAATCCTACCATTAGAGAGGGTTTTGTGGATGCTCCTATCTTTTATGAAGAACAGGGTGGATGTCAAGGAATTATTCCCAAAATGTTGGAGGTAACAAGTTTCTTAGTCCCCATAGAAAGTAGCGACGAGAATGATGTTGTGGAGGTAATGATGGCGAATATATTCTTCTTGAAGTTTTACCTGAGGGAGTATCATGTGATGTGCGCGCCAAGGGTTTGGTGCTATTTTCCTTTGAAATTTTTGCTGGTGAGTTCGATATTGAAGGTAGCCATTGTGCGCTCCTATTTCTTCTCCACAACATACGATTTTCTTAAAATCATTAGGATCATGAAATATACTTTTGAGAGGTGGACAAGATTCCTCTGCAAAACGGACACAAGCACAGAAACACACGTTGCATTGTTCAACTGTCGGATTCAAACTTTGGACATAGTTGCGCCAGCATAACATTAGGCTAACACTTAAATTGGAAATCATAGTTCATTACGTTTTTGTATAGCATATCTTGTATTCAATGTGTTTCAACCTCTTCATTTTAGAGTCCACAATGATGGACAGTTTGCTGAATTGTGGCATTCTTGGTAAGTCATTTTTTGTTAATCTTTTGATGAGCCGGGTAAGGTATTGTTCTTGTGCTTGAAAAAGTCTCTGTGTATGTGTCATAATAACCTGTGTAGGATTTGGTCTGGATCCATGTTCCTTATTTGTGAACCCCATGCCATTGCTGCTTTTACCTAGTCATCTGGGAATTCTTATTAGGGGCATTCATCTGACTTAGGTGCACTTTTTGTTTTTTGGATGAATGGCTTAGGTTCACTTAAAGAGAAATTCCTTGATATGGTACATTATGAGGCCCTTATTCTATTATGTGACTGGGGAATTGGGGTTTCTGCATTCCTGTCGTAGTATTTTATGCTTGTGATTACTGAACTTGTGAAAACCTTTGTAGTTGTCTGAAATGAAGAAATGGATCACGAGCTCAAGGGTATTATTTATGTGTGCTGACATCTGATAGATCTACTTATAATGCCTGAAGTGTGTTTGTCTTTGTTGCGTGAATAATGTTGTTCTTAATATTAGATATGCTGTTTAAATTATCTATGTGACCGTCTCTTGTTTTAAGCCTAATATGTTCACTTTGCAACCATCTTATGTGCAGGTGAGGATGTTTGGAGATATGTTGGAAAGTTATCTGACGCTCAAAAGGGCATGCTTGATGATAGATTTAAGTGGAAGGTCGGTTGCACATATATCTGGTTCTTTTTATTTTTCTTCATCTTTAGTCTTTTATAGTTCTATTATTCGAATGGGTTTTGTATTTCCAGGCTCGTGAGATGGACAAAAGGAAGGAGGGAAAACCTGGGGAAGCTCGTGCAACATTAAGACGTTCTGTGAGGGACAATGGGTAGGTTATTCGTTGTTTTCCTTTTAGCTTTTGATCTAAGAAAATAACTATAACTAGCCTTTGAGTGTTGTTATTTACTTATCGTGAAGCTTAACAATATCTTGACACTTCTTTTTTGTACGAAAAAGAAAAGCTTGACACATTCAATAACCTAAAACACTATCTTGAATATAGGCTGTCATTTCATCTTACAGACTTAGAGATGCTTTTGGGTGTCTTGGATCCTAGCCACACATGCATGCGCCAGACTAATATTGAATGCCTACAGGACACACACATTATCCCCTAAAAAAGTCTAAGATAAGACAGAGAACTAGAAGCTTGTAACCATCCATCCTATAGAAAAAGTAGGGTGATTCTGAGGCATTGTTGCTATGACATGCTAAGTGGAAGGGTTTTCTAATGTTGGAAGGTTTATTTGTGCTTTATTTATTTGACGGGTTCTCCAGGAAAATGGAGAAATTGAGGAAGATGCCGAACATCGAATTAGAGGTCGGTGGGCGATGTGGAGATGTGCAACCGGAGTTTTATGTGGTCGTCGCATATCAATAAAGTTGAAGGGGAAGTTCCATAGGGCGGTTGTGAGACCAGCATTGCTTTGTAGGGCAGAATGTTGGGCCCATAGGATGAGTGTAGTCGAGATGGGGATGTTAAGATGGATGAATGACAAGACAAGAAGGGATAAAATTCGAAATGAATACATTCAGGAGAACTTAAGTGTGTCTCCAATAGGCGATAAGATGAGAGAAAGTAAACTTAGGGGGACTGGCCATGTGCAGTGGAAACTTAATACAACACTAGTTAGGAGTTGTGAGTTGGTTCAAGTGGAAGTCTCAAAACAGGCAAGGGGTAGGCCCAAAAGGGCATGGTTAGAAGTAGTGAGAAAAGATATGAGGACTTATGACCCTTGATTGAGTAGAATGGTTCATTGAGGATATGATCCTTGATGGTGCCGAATTGTGGACCAAGATTCATGTAACCGACCTCAATAGTTGGGAAAAGGCTTTGATGATGATCACGATATTTATTTGCTGTTGGTGGTGTTCTTTCCATTACATGATTTGCCTGGTCATTTGTTGGATTGCTTGTGCATCGGTGCTATTCGAAATGTGTTGCCCACTCTAAAGGTGTTGCTATTGCGAGATGCAGTGCCTATGCATCATATTTACATTTCCTCGTTGTTTTCATCTATTTTATGAATGATCACTTTTGGATGTTAAGGGATTCTGTTGTTATAACCAAGTTATTGTGCATTCTGTTCTCTTATTTCTTTCGTTGGGATAGGTGTAATCCTCTGGAACTGTTAGTTGATGCATATATATATATATATATATATATAAGCCTATGCTCATATGTTCATTTTTTTTATTCTGCATTGATAGGTTAGATGTTGCAGAGCAAAGTGGAGAGGTTATCCCCCGGCCAGTATCTGCACCTATATTGATGAGGTATATGGTGTTTCTTTTTTATCTATTTTGTGAATGAATCATAATTAGCATTAAAAAAAAAAGAGAAAAAAATAGAATCTACACACAATCTGCAAAGTTTGTTCAACTCATGGAGAATACTTCTTATTGTGGTCAACTTATCTTTATGTGGAATGCTTCTTTGGGCTAGGGCAAGCAATGGACATTTTGAGGATCCTGTGGACAGGCAACCCTTACCTGGTATGCATACAGCATCAAGCGGACCAGCTGACTGGAATGAAGCGTTGAATATCATATTGATGGGTGCTCCTGAGCAGGTTGGTTACTTATTGCTAGTGTAGTAGTAGTCGTCGTCGTTATTGTTCTTGTAGGTTATGCTATTCATAGGATTTAGGGGAAATAGACCCCAAAAAGGATTTAGGTGAAATGTGCATCTTATATTTTGTAAACATTAAGACTGGAGCTTGTCTTAGAGTACCTGATATTTTTAACAAAACATTTCTTGTTGTGGGAATTTTGACATGTTCAACTTCCCAATGAAATTATTTAGTTAAGATTACAACATTGTAGGCCTAATTCACTATTCATTATATTGAAGCTATGGATGATGTATGTATTTATATGCCTTTGCGGTTCTACTCCTGACGGAGGTTCACCTGCCTGCATAGGGCTCATGAGTGCCATTTCTTTTGCTAAATGAAAATTATAGGTGTTTCCTTTCTGCAAAAGAAGTGTGCCTCCAGAGAAATCCATGAGCATTGAATGTCAGCATTCCCAAGTTGGAGTTGCATCTGACCATGGTTTATCCTTTTGTTTTTGCACTTTGCTGGATTTCATAGTTATATACTTCGTTGCAGGCAGTTGAAGGTATGAAAGTCATCTGTCATGAGCTAACACAAGCCACAAACGATTCAGAAAGTATTGCGATGGAGGATCTAGTCAAGGATGCAGATAGACTTGTCTCATGCCTTGCAACAAAGGTTTATCATTATCTTCCAGGATCTGTTTGGTTGGAGTTATCTTCGCAAGCTTATTTGACTACTTTTAACAGGTACCCAAGACTTTTGACTTCAGTCTTGCTGGCGCCTCTTCAAGGTCATGTAAATATGTCCTGAACACCCTTATGCAGGCAAGTTTATTTGTACCCCTTTTATGTGATTGTGCTGCTCTGATATGATGTTGTTTTTGGAAGAAAATGCAGTAAAACCATATGATTCTTGCAGACATTTCAAATTAAAAGGCTAGCTCATGCTGTAAAGGAAAGTACCCTCAACATCCTTATTACCGAGCTTCTTTTATGGCTTTTGGATGAAAGAGTTCCTTTAATGGATGATGGAAGCCAACTTTTGAAGGCTTTAAATGTTTTGATGCTAAAGATTCTGGTGAGTTTTTCTTGAAGTCGACTGCTTTTGTTTTCATCGTCATATCATGTATAATTTCTTACTTTGGTTTCAGGATAATGCGGAGCGCACTTCCTCCTTTGTTGTACTGATCAACCTCTTGCGGCCTTTAGATCCCTCTAGATGGCCATTGCTTGCATCTGGTGAGACCTTTTCAGCCAGGAGTCAAAAGTTCTCTGATCTTGTTGTCAAGTGTCTCATAAAATTGACAAAGGTAGTCAGATGCCAACATAATGTGTAACACTTTGTCCCTGGTTATGTTTGGGCACACTGCTAATGTAATATTAGTTTCTTCAGGTTCTCCAGAGTACAATATTTGAGGTGGATCTTGATCGTATTCTTCAAAGCATACATCTCTATTTGCAAGAACTAGGAATGGAGGAAATACGAAAAAGGTTTATTATCAGACCAGTAGTTTTCCACTTCTTACATCATTAATTAGGACATTGAACCTGACCAATTGATAATTGCCAGAGCTGGGGCTGATGACAAGCCACTGCGCATGGTTAAAACTGTTCTACATGAGCTCGTTAAGCTTCGGGGAACTGCAATAAAGGGTCACCTTTCCATGGTTCCTATAGACATGGAACCTCAACCAATTATACTTGCATACATCGACCTTAATCTCCAGGTAAAGATTTCTTTTATACTGAAAAACTTTATTGCCACGTTGACCCATATCTTACCTCTTTGGTTATAATATTATGATGTGAATTCAGGATCTTTAAGCCAATTTTCTCTTCTTTGTGCAGACTCTTGCAGCGGCTAGAATGCTGACTCCGTCAGGACCTATTGGCCAAACACACTGGGGTGACTCTGTTTCCAATGGGCCATCACCTGCTACACATTCAGCAGATGCACAATTGAAGGTGCCATCTCAACTTTGGAACTGATATTGGAAATAAATGTGTTATTTGTCTTCTGCCTTCTTAGTCAGCATCTTTTTCCTGCCTTCTTAGTCAGCATTTTTTTGTTCTTGACATGGTTACAGCAAGAGCTTGCCGCAGTCTTCAAGAAAATTGGTGACAAGCAGACATGCACAATTGGTTTGTATGAGCTTTACCGGATCACACAGTTGTACCCCAAGGTATATACACTTTTTGTACTTGCAACACGGCCTTAGTGACTGATTCACGAGGAGCAAAGAAAGAAGTAAATGTATTTCTCCATTGAGGGCTTTTGTCTTCTGTAAATGCAACTTTACTTCTTCTCTTTGCATGCGGGGATGGGGGAAGGGAGGTTTAGATTGCACAAGGGATAGGACCTCCTTGACCCGCTCTACGTGCAAACAGGGTTTTGCACGGCTAGAACAAATGTTTGCGAATAATTTTAGTGTATAGGAGTGGTGGCAGGGATTTGACATTTAACATTGGTTCTTTCAGGTTGATATATTTGCGCAGCTACAGAATGCGAGTGAGGCCTTCCGCACTTATATAAGAGATGGATTAGCACAGGTTGGTTGGTACCCATCTAAATGATTTGGTTTCCTGTGTATTCCTATTATAAGAAGAAAGTGCTGGCTTATGAAGTACTTGTATTGTTTGATTGCAATGGAATGCAATGCAGATGGAGAGAAATACAGCAGCTGGAAGGACACCTTCGAGTGTGCCAATGTCGACTCCTCCTCCTGTAGCCATGAATCTCTCCTCTCCAAAGCTTGCACCTATGTCCCCTGTCCATACGAAGCAGCAGCACAATGTGATTAAGCATCATGAACTCACAAACAACTCCTTGGGTGTTGAACTTGATGATGCTGCTACCATGCCCAGTGGTGATGTCTCACCAAAAAGGCTGATGAACGCATTCCCCGAATTGAGGAAGCAGCTTCCCATTCCCAGAGAGGACCATGACGAGAAATATGCATTTGCAGGTAAAGGGATTATGATACGACGCCTCCCCTTTTGGGAGATTGAGGACTATGTAATTTTGTTGTGCTTTTAGTTTTAGATTGGTCTTTCTTCTCACTTATATTTGAACTGGTGGACAGCTGCACCCATTAGTGGGACATTGGATGCCATCCGAGAGAGAATGAAGAGCATGCAGGCAGCTGCAGCTGCCGGGAATACAGAGGGGGGTGGGGGTGGTAATGTGGAAGTTACGATGATGCCACCTAATGTTCTTCCTATGGATGAGAAGGCATTGTCGGGCCTCCAGGCTCGCATGGAAAGGCTAAAAAGCGGTGCTGTGGAGCCCATGTAGGAGGGAGTGTGCATCTTCCCAGTTTCAATTTCAAGGAGTTCTGCGCTTAGAGAGAGAGAGAGAGAGAGAGAGAGAGAGAGAGAGATGAAGCACAATGATTTGGATGGAATTAAAGGAAAGCCCTCTATACATTTGCTAGAGGAAGAGCCAGGGATTGTGGATATAACATGCTTGGTGAGCGAGTTGTATATTTTTCCTGCCACTTAACCCAGCTTTTTCGATCCCGTTCAATTCGAATTGGTGATGTCCTGTATGGTGCATATATAGTTTTGATTTCTTTGTAGCGAGAAGGCTGAACTCTCGCGATATGTTGTTTGAATGGTGAATTCATGATGCATATAATTCTTTCTTTTCTCAATAGATCTTTGTCATTATGTATGTAACCTGCACCATCTTTCTCCCGGTTTCTTCATGCACAGCTGTGTCGGTGTTGTGGGAATTAACTACCAAAACCAATTATCGCATATCAAAGTGAAGCATTGGAAATGAGAGTCTTGGCTTTAGGATATTGGACTCGTAGTTTCTGTGAACAATCTTGGAAAATGGAGATGGAATAAACTCACGGGGACCTTTAGATGCATATCCTTAATGTGTCTCATATGTCTGGATGCATGTTTGACCAGCGGACTGATTTCGTTTTATTTGAAGAAGTGAAACCCAACTTGGGATACCTGTTAAAAAAACTGAGTGCAACAGATTCGAATTGTCATCCCATGTTTTACTATTCTTGAAAAAAGCGACCAACGAAAGCATAAAGTCTCTCGATATATTATATGGCCCCACCGTCGATGGCCAGAAAAGATGGAAAATTTACTTCAAGTTTCTCAGCATAATATCAGAAAAGTGCCTCAAATGGTATCTAAACAGGTTTATTATTGGGAAAATAATAAATTGCACTTGAGGATATGCTTTTAAGTTTTTATATGAATCAATTTTTTTCAAATTGCTTTTATTGGGTATTCGAAATTGGGAACATTCAGGTGTATCTTGGTATCCGGCACAAGCAAGGCATTTGTGTGAAATGACGAACTTATCCGGCACAAGCAAGGCATTTATTCCTTCCTTGCCCCTTCATCTTGAACATTTGGGATTGGGCTCGTTAGAGTATCAATCTATTCGTTACCATTCAACAGATTGTAGATCAGTCATTATCCAATGATTGTCCCCTGTGGTTTTACTACCTCTAACGAGGCTGAAACACGGGGTTTGTTAGAAGGCCTGAAACCGCTCTCTAAATGGCAGGGTGAAAAGATAATTGCAGGAGATTCGCCAAATGTTATAGCTTGGAGTAGAGAGGAGTTCAATATTCCTTGGAGATTAAGATCCTTGTTTCATGAAATTAGGGATAAGGTCTCGCAGCTTAATGTTGATCTCCGTCATCGTTATAGGGAGGCTAATGAGGGGGTTTCCAAGTTCATCATTGGTTGTTAATCTATCTTAATTTTATGCTCTTATTGTTAATGCGGTTTCAATACAAGAAATCTTTGTGATAGCCTTAAAATATATTTTCATCTTTAATTATAAAATTTAAAGCTTAAAAAATAGTGTAGATCAAGCAGATCTATGAAAACTTGAAAATTGACGGTAAAAAATTACGTTACAAGATGTGTTATTTCCAAAACTTGAAATCCATTTTTTTCTCATATCCATGCATCTTGATGTCGAGATGTTCTAGTGAAATGTTTAAGTTGGGCTCTTATTTGATTGTGTAAAGCCTTGGCTCTATATAAACTTTTCCTTTTTATAAATTGTTTAATACTTTTGCTTCAAAGCTGCCCTATGTTTACGTGTGTACAATAATAAAGTCGCCATTCATGCAAAGCATGTGCAAACAACCATTTTACGAAAACACAACTGAGACGACTTAATAAGGTTTCTTTCGATATTTCCTTGAGACATAGGGGTATTTGGTAATTTCTTTTTTGTAAATTAATAAAGAAAAACTTTATATAGAGCCTAAGCTTTAAGAGATCAAATTAGAAAACTTAAGTAGAAGAGGTTGTTTTGATGCTCAAATATCCACAAATCGATCATCTTGACACTAAGATGCATCTCAACACCAAGATGCATCTCAACACCAAGATGCATGAACATGAGAAGAAAATGAATTCTAAGTTTTGAAAATAATCCATCTTGTAGCATATTTTGTGACCGACAATTTTCAAGATTTTTAAATTTTTATAGATCATATGCTACTTTTGAAGTTTTAAATTTTATATATTTTAAAGCTATCACAAATATTTTTAATGAAACATTTTTTAACACTATTTGAAGGTGCGCTACTTCGATTCTTTAGAGCCTCAATTCAATACGAACGGCAACCGGTAAGTAAATCTGTTCATTTTTCAATTTATGCGGAAGGAAGAAAGACAAAATTGGAAAAAAAAACGAAAAAGAAAAGAAAACGCTTGTCGCTTATTTCGTTCATTATTCTCTCCTCCTTTTTTGTGTCTTCCCTTTCGAGAGAGATAGAGAGGTGTTCCCATTTGTATTAAGGTGGTTTTCTGTTGCTGATGGTGTAGAGAGAAGAGAGAGAGCGAGAGAGAGAGAGAGGGAGTAAGGATAGAAAGGAGGAGGAGGAGGAGGAGGAGGAGGCGGAGGGGTTTTGGGAGGAGGGGGGAAGAGGGGATGGAGGAGATTGGGTACAGCAGTTGTGGGGCTGGTAATGCTCTCAATGCTCGTCCCCCTCGTCTTCTTACTAGGCCTCCACAGTGGCTTCCAATCCAACGGTATTCTCGCTTTCACTTGTTCGTGCATCAATCGATGTCTCCTGCTTTTTCAGATCTAACTCTTTCCTCTTCCACTTTGGAAGATGGATGGTTGTTCTTATAACTGGATCTGTTTTACTTTTCTTCACAGTAGTTCCCTCTTCTTTTTTTTTCCTGACTATTTTTTTGAAACTTTTTTCCAATGAACCAGTGCTCCTTTCTCCCCACTCTGATTATTCTGCATTTTATATTCTACTAGTTTCTGGATCAAAGTTTTAATTGGTGAAGTTTTTGAGATTCATCACTTTATTTCTGTCTACTCATTTGGATCTCTGCTGCATTAGCTTCTGTTTTTTCCTTTGGGTGAAATGTTCAAGCATACGTTCATTTAACTTCTGTGATTTATGAGTTTATTATGAGATACTGTAATGGCTGATGAGCAACCTCTGATTATTCTTTTAATCATCTTCAGGTTATATTGGTGAAGATAGAAATTCTCCTCTGGTAAGTTCAATTCCTTAGTGGGATGTTTATTTAATACTTGTATTGTAACTGAAACATAGAGGGTAATTTAGTGTGTGCTTTTGATCTGGTTGCATTTTCTCAATGGAATAGCACTTTGATTTGATGTGCATGCGTGATGTTTCAGAATGCTAGATTCCCTGGATTGGATCCATTGGTCTCTGATCGAGCTAAGAACCAGAGAGGGGTATTGTCTCTTTTGTATTGTATTTTGTGAATTGCTGATTTTTAGGTAGACCGGGCATAGGCTCAAAAGATTTGAAATGCTTAGGTTTTAGGTTATTCACTGAATTGCTTTTGTGCCTTTTCTTCCGTTTAGGCTGTGAAGTCCGATCACATAATTGATGTCATTCAGCAATTAAGTTCACCGCTCGCTAAGGTACAACTTCATATTGATATCCATTTGCTTTTGAAAATCATATTCTTGTGCGAAGATGCAGGAAGGATGGAAAGAAAAATGAATGTCCTGTTGCTTGCTAGTATAACTGCCTTAGTTTTTCATCTCTACAATGTCAAATGATGCTGCAAATACAATAAAAATCAGGGCATGGTATCTGCCATCATGACAGTTGTATGCCTTATGGCTTATTTCACAAATATCTGCATATAATAATGGGTGGGAAGGTTTTTTGGAGAAGTTGTTTAGCAATTTTTTCTTTCCTTTTTGCTAATTGAGCGCCTGTTTAGCGTGTCCATGCACCATTTTTGAGATAGCAGCCATCAAAACACTTGGACACCCGATCCATCTTCGCCACTTTGATCCTTCATGGTCTAGGCATGCCAAATCCACTTGATGGCTGCATTCTCTGGGTCTAACTTACAAAATATTTCCGGTCAACTATATGTATGCCTTGAAAATAGATATTAGTGAGAAGTCAAATTAAAAAGAATCTCCCTTGTGCTGACAGATGCACTTTGTTTAAGTGAAATAATGGACCTCATCTTGGCTACATTATTGTTAGATGATTGTTAGATGTATATACCATCAACAAGTGAGAGGGCCGGAATTTCCATAAAATATCTTGCATTTTCTACTTTTATGACAAGAATCCTGTGATTATGTGCATTCCTTACTGATCCTGATCATATCATAGAACTCATATGAGACATTAGCACTTGTCCAAAAACCTTCACAAGGTGAGATTAAGGCAATAAGGACTTAGAGTGCTAATGAACCCAGTCAAAAATCATTATGCTACCTACTCCGAATAAAAACACCTCAAACTCCTTGACATCCAACCAAAGATCCTCTTGCATCTCACCACTTTATTGCTTATTAAAAACATCCGCAATCAATGCATAAAATTGCCCATGGATACTCAAGCAGGTCGCCATGCTTTCGGATGAGATCACATTTATGTCTCACATTGACTATCCTTTGAGAGAATTTAGCATTTTTATGCCCTTCCTTTAACCACTTGTTCTTAGACTTTTACATCCAACTTAGGACCTCTGGTCTTTACACTTCTGGCATATCTTCTTTGGATTATTTGGTCCTACCTTTCTCCTCATCTGACAAGGAGACCAGATTTCTTTAGGGCGTGTTTGATAATAGGAAGTGGCTTCTGGAAGTTGAGAACTTCTCAACTTTTCGTGTTTGATAAAAATGAGAACCCCAAATTGAAAGTTTTCATCTTCCCACACCCCGGTGTAAAAAAAGTTCCGACCCAATGGTCGGAACCTAAAATAGGAAGCTCTAAACTTCCTCCCCATTCGATAACCCGGAGCACCCCTCCTCTTCGATAAAACCCTAATCTCTGAGCACAGCCCCTTGTTGAGCACCCATCCCACTGAGCACTCCTCTCTACGCCGTTGAGCACCCACCCCGTTGAGCGCCCCTCTTTTCGCAACTTTCCATCTCGCTGTTGAGCCAGCCCAACATGCCATTATCTTGAGGTATGCACTTTATTCTCTCTGTTATTGATCATTGTGTTTGTTCCTGAGCTCTTGAAGCAAAGGGCTCGTATTATTGATCTCTGTGTTTGTTCTTGAGCTCTTGAAGCTTAGAGCTCTTATACCCCATGATTTTAGGGTACAAGTTTTTTTGTGGGGTTTTCCCTCTCTGTTGACTTCCAATTTGGGTATTCTTAGTTTTTTTTTTTTCTCTTTCTCTCTGTTATTTTCTCACTGTTTGAAAATGGGCAATGGATGTTACTTGCTTATGAAATGCCCCAAGTGTTTAATGTTTGCTGGAACTTAGTGTTTCTATTCGATTATTTGGGGTCGTATTCTTTGATCATGGATGATTTGATTTTTGTTCATTTCTCCAAATGTTGGGCTTCTTTTCCATGGCTGTTGATTAATGGGTGTAATATATAATTTGCTCAATGCCTAGAAATAACCATGCTCTCTCTCTCTCTCTCTCTCTTACATCACGCATGTGTGTGTTGGTGAAATTGAAGTATTGTGAAATTGAAATATTGAGTTGGTTTTGAAATCTTATGCGAGTGCTTCTATGATGAATTCACTGATGTAGCTTCTGTGTATTGGATGTGAATTGTCCTTGGTAAATTATGAATGTTTAATGTTCTATGAATCTATCAATACAGAAACTCCAGTATGGCCTTTGTGAAACTGTCCATGCAAATGTGGTAAATTGATTGTACTTGCTTTTTGTTGTAATTTTCAAATGCTATTTGATCTATCTTCAAGTGTAGATGAGATTTTGGGATCATAATTTGGTAGAAACTACAAGTCTAATTTGGAAAGCATATAAGGTTTTAAACTTTACCTTTCTTTCAACTACATGCTTGAGTTTTTGCGACAAAGGCATCCATCGCAATAGCTTTTTCTGACACTTCCCCATCTTAGATTTTTTATTCTATTGGATAGATTTTACTGCAAAACCAGTTTCCAATCCAGCTTTTATTCTTATCTGGTATTCATTTTGATTTCCTTTCCATTTCTCAAAATGATATAGCAATTTCCTTTAAAGTTAAAGTCATTTGCATTGCCTAAACTAACCATAAATAATATCTTCTTAGGCACATTTGAAAAGAAATGTATTTTTTAATTGAATGAAGGACTTTTTCTTAGTTTTTGATTTGATTTTGTGGTGTTCATCTTAAGTTTAATGGACCATCATCTCTCTTGATGTAATTGAATCATATCTTGACCAAATTTATCAATTTAGAGATGATCACATGCTGTGTGTAATAGATTAACACCACACATAGATACATGTTGCTTTTGCATCAAAGGAATGCAACAAAATGGGCAATGGTTGTTACTTGCATTGTTTTGATCTATTTTTTGCATGACATTTATCATGCTCGAGCTCTACATGTTGATAAAGTATATGAGTATAATTTCTTAGTGCTGCCTTTTTTTACAATAGAAAACTAGTAACAAATTTGTCATTTTCCAGTCAATTTCTTGTCATGTAAATATGTGTTACAATTGTGTATATGATGATCAGAATTATTTATAACAATCCAATGTAAAATTTGATAGCTTGTGTGTGTCACAAAGTTCAAAATTTTGTTTTTTGAAGTTGTAGTTTAGTTACTAGAATATAAAAGAGGGTGAGGTTTGTATAAGGTTGCCTCCTTATATTTGGTGATATTTGTTTCTTACACCTGTGGCATTAATATCATATGCGTTTGTATAACTATGAATGTGGCTTTATGAACCTTTTGAAGTCTTTTGTTTCATATATTGATGCATCATGCATGTAAATTGGTCATGATTATCCTACTTTCATGACTAGTCTTTGATTTCTCGTTACTGATTTGATGATTTACTTCTCCATTTTGAAGGGATCTATTATTTGAGATCTTTATTCCTATAAAATATTTGGTAGTGTAACTCTAGTATTTGAGATCTATCATGTGGTGTTAGTGGTGGACATATGAAAAATGTAACTCTTGCCAATGGGATGAAAACCAGTCTTTTCTCTAATCCAATACAGATACCCAGTACTTCTTTAACTTCCCAGGAGGTTATCAAACACAGAAACCAGGAACTCTACTTCTTTAACTTCCTCGGAGGTTATCAAACACAGAAACCAGAAACTTCTTAACTTCTCAGGGGATTATCAAACACAGCCAGGAACTTCTTAACTTCCCAGGGAGGTTATCAAACACAGAAACTAGGAACTTCTTAAGTTCACAGAACTTAAGAACTTCTAATTTACAGTTCCTGAACTTGCTTCCAGTTATCAAACGGGCCCTTAATATCTGTCCAGCAGTGTTCTTCTATAACACAGCCTTCCAACTAGCCAATTGCCCCCTAACCTCTCTACTGGTCCATACCTTCAAAATTCATACAAACATCTAAAATTTTCTTACAAACATGAATCCTACCCAACCTTCCACCTGAATAAATACTCTTGATGCAAAACCGTATCAATCCATAAAAGAGTTTAAAATTGTGCCTCAAATAATTGGTATGCATTTTAGTGTTTATCTGAGGGGATTCTTTGAGATCCACTTGATGGATGGTCTTATGAGAAAGTTTCAGCAAGTGCAGCTCCTGCTCTACCAAACCAAGATTACTGTCAAGTTGTGTGATAATTGCTTCCACCTAACTATGTATTGGTGAAGGGGCTCTGATTCAACTAGCTGCACCCGTTTATCATTAACTTAATCTCATCAGCTGTTGTGCTCTCTTCCTGCAAGAAAGTTCTACCCATAAACTTGCGATAGCTCCAGAGTTGGTGCCCTTGCAATGGCACTGATTCCCCTTTTTGCTGGTTTCCTTCTTTTATTGTCCACTGGGTTCCCTTTTCTTGACGGAACATATGGTAGGGGATTGACTTTTACACTTTGACTCTAACAACTGAATGTTAACATAGTCGTGTCCTGCAGGATTAAATTTAGAAGTCCTCATGTGCGTCTTTATTTGCATTTATGATGGCCCTATTGTTTTAGAATGGTGAACATCGAGATTTAATATTAAACTTAACTTCTTTCCAAATACACATGATTGTAATATTTATTTAATTGGACCATAGTTAGGATTTCTGAATAAGTTGGGGTGTGTTTTTTTCATGAACTGTTGTGCTTCTGTGTTTGTTACGTGGGAGTGAAAGCCACTGCTTGATGTTTCCAACAGCCTTAGAAGTGACGTCAAGTGGCATTGTTTTAGGAGACTACCACTTTCACGATAACACATGGAAGCAGTGGCTTTCAAACTTTGTCAATCCCTCTTCCACAAAACAAACACACCCCTACTCTCATTTGCTCATACCTTTGGCAAAATTAAATTTATGCCCTCAAGTTGGTTTATTTTCTATTCTTGTCATCTAAGTTCTATTTCCCATTGTTTTTCTTATAAAGATTGCCTCATATTGATTTTCTTTCAATTTCAGTTTCCTAGATTTTCACAAGCTTTTGTGCAATGTGTCTGTCTTAACTCTTAAGCTTAAGGATTTCCATA